TAAATCCAATTAAAAAATAATTTTTCACTTAAATTGCTTCGTGAAACAGGCTATTAAAGTCGTACAATTTTTCATTGTAGAATAACTTTTAAAGGGTTTTTAGGGAATTTGTAACAGCACCAAAATATTTTTGAACGGATGGAAAATATATGTATAATTAGATCTTATTATGAACTGTGAAATCCTTAAAACAATTTTAACAAATTATTTTACATAGAAAACTTTTACGACTTTAAGACATTGCGACGCTTCAGACGTCCTGTGAAAAAATGAATTTTAGTTGCCAATCTTTTGTGAAAAAGTAACTTTAAATTTGAAAAGAAAGATCACCATCTCTATTTTAACCTCAATATTAATTTTAATCTAAGATTCAATCTTAACTTAAATCATAGCCTTAATCTTTGTCTTAATTGTAATCCTAATTCTAATCTTAATCTTAATTTTAATATTAGTTTTAGTCCTAATATTAAGCTTAGTCTTAACCTTGACTATAATCTTAATCTTAATCGTAATCATAATCTTAATCTGAATATAAATAAAAATCTTAATCTTAGTCTTAATCATAATGGTAAACTGAATCTTAGTCTTAACAGTCTTAACCTTAATCGTCATCTTAGTGTTGATCTTAATATTAATCTTATTCTTAATCTAAATCTTACTCTTAATATTAATTTTAATCACAGTCGTAATCCTTTTGTTATTATTAATTTAAATCTTAATCTTAGTCGTAATCTAAATCTTAAATATAAACTTAGTGATATTATTTATCCTAATCTTATTCTTAATTTAAATCTTAATCTTAATCTTAAATCCTAATCTTCATCTTAGTCTTATTTAAAGTCTTAATTTTATGCTTAGTCATAGTCTTAATTAATATATTTTGCTTCATTTGAATCTTAATTGGGCCTAATCGCCACCGCAATCACCTCCCCTCCCCTCCCCTCCCTCTTCTGACGCTTTTTTGTCTCATTGGGGCTTTGAATTAGAGCCCAAAGTGCGTGTGTTTCTGTAAACGTATAATACTTTAAAAACAATTAACTATTAAGATATTCCTTAATAAATCCATTTTCTTATCATTGCACACACAGGCGTACCCTCCTGTCAGCGTACGATTGCTTTCGAGAAGGCCTGCACCCTCTTCAATTTGGGCGCCATCTACACACAAATCGGTGCACGCCACGATCGCACCACTGAAAAAGGCTTGGATGCAGCAGTGGATAGTTTTCTGCGTGCCGCCGGCATATTTCGACACATCTACGACACATTCACCAACGCCCCCTCCATGGATCTGAAGCCACAGGTGCTAGATGTACTGGTCTCGTTAATGTTGTCACAAGCGCGTGAATGTCTCTTCGAGAAGTTGCAGCTGCAAATTGAGGCGCTTGGCCTCACCGAATCCAGTCATGTAAGTTTTAGTACTTTGTCCACTGATTAAACTTGATTTTTGATTTTTTAAAAATATTTTCAATTTTTCTTTTTTTATTCTCTTCATTTTCTACATTGCAGCTTTTCAAAGACTTGGCGGGCGAAGCAGCACAACTGACGCTCGAATACAATGAAATGCACAAAAATATACAAATGAATGACACGCACACATACTTGCCGGAGTGTTGGGCCGGGCTGGTGCCGCTCAAAGCTGAATTCTATAAAGGTAATTTATGGCCAACGTTGCACTTGCCGCCGCTACGGCCGAATGCAGCTGCAACTGCGATTCGAGAATGTCGTAAGCATGCTGAAGCGCGCATGGAATGCGAGTGGATTGCCTTGTCCAATCGACGTTTGCCAACATAAATACATACAAACAAATGTTTCTGTGTGCGCACGTGCATATTTACTCGCTGCATATTTCAATAATAAATAATCTTAAGCTTTACTAATCGGTCGTCACCTTGTTTACTTATGCTCTGTTGTTTTTCTTTCCCCTCTTGCCTTCTTTGTCTCTACACTGTCACTGCATTGCACTTGCAGCACTTGCCCACCACTACGAAGCATGCAGTCTTGACATCACCGCCGACAAAACATCACTCAGCACAAGGAAGACGCAAGCCGCCTCACATGGCGGTACCGCCAACGAGTCATTTATTGGTAATGCGCGGGAGGCATTACGCGCTGCTGCCGCTGCCATTGAGGAGAGCGAGGAAGATGCAGCCAGTGCGACAGCACTGAAACGCGCCCATCTGAAGGAAGCGCTCGCTAGTCATGAAGAAACGCAACGCCTGCAGCGCATGTGCCGATTTTTGAAGGTGAGTTGATGAGGCGGCATAGCGATTTGTAATTTTGTTATAATTGTTTGTACATTAGGGTGGAGCGTAAACAACAAATTTCGCTATTCGAAAATCTAATAGCGGGAAATTATTGCCCTTGGACGTCAATAGAATACTCCAAAATTTATTTATCAAAATAATTTTTAGAATAATTCTAGGTATACAGTTTTATAAGCCATTAAATTTTATAGTAGCAAAGTGCAAGTTTGAAGTAGTTAAGACTTACGCCTGATTTTTAACAATTGTTTTGTTTTTATTGAAGGCGTTGCTCGTCTTCTCCACGTAAAAATATTGTCCAACATACTTTTTATGTAACAAAATACAACCATCGACAAAAAAGGCCAAAAATCAGCGTCATTATACTAAATTTAATGGCGCACAAAACTGCGTACCTAGAATTTTTCTAAAAATCTCGAAATTTCAGTAAAAAGTGGAAAGCATAAAGCATTAACCGATTTCATTAAAAAAAAAAAGCGTGAGTACTAGGTACTCATGAAATTTGATGTGTAAACATATGCGAACGGCAAAGCATAAAAGTACGTTTACATATAAATATAATCTAATCAAAGCTCGTTGTGCTTGTCAAATTGGTTGTGCTTGTTATTCACACAACTCGAGGAAAAGTTAAACTTCTTCTCTGTGCCACCGTGGTCACTTTTTTCAGCTACACATATTATGCTCTTTAAATATACTTTAAGTGAATATTTTATTAAAAATACCTTTACAAACCTCTTTTCCTTACTAGCGTAATATTTTGTTTACATTTACATTTGACATTCCTCCTCTTCTTCGCAAGTATAATCGATAACACTAGGTTGGACACCAAAAAGTTATCAGTTTAATCAGGGATAATTTTATAATTATAATTTTGTATGGCTAATCTCTTTTTCTGATTGCAGATTAGGGAGTTAAGCTCGATAATGTGGATAATTTTTTTATATTTAAAGCTGTTATTAGGCGATTGAGTTACATACATAGACATGTAGGTTAGGTTAGAAATTAAACATTAATTTCAATTTATTTTATTCATTTTGCTGATTTAATTTTTTTATTCATTTTCATTTTTAATTATTTTAATGCATGAAATTATCGGTATGATTGATAAAATATACTTGTACATACTTGTCACTCAAGGGCGTTGAAATATCTTGGAAACACCGCATCAGTTATTGTTTTTGAGCTTATAGTTTGTGCATTTCGATTTGTATATATTCCTAAATTTAGTTTTTTTTTTCGGGATATAATCTGTGGTAACTGCAGTTCATGTTGCAGGATTTTACCCGATGCTTTTTTAAATGATTTCAGTATGCAACCATTTGGCAAGCAAACACAGGGTGCTTCTAATGAAAATAATAATTTTATGCTGAAATACACATGCTAAGCCCTTCGAAATTTTGTGCTGGGATATGCGTTACAGCTTCGCAAATTTTACCCCTACCGAAACCAAAGATGTATACACATCAATAATGTTGTGGCAACGATCCCGCGCAATTAGAATTTCGAAACGCTAATTTTTTTGTTTCCACTCCATCCTAATGCACATACTTATATATGACTGCTGTGCTGCTAATTGCAGCTGCACCATACTTACAATTCATAAATTAATGCCATTCAACATTGTTGACATTTGACATTAGATAATCATAGTGTACGTGGTGATGGCACTCCACGAGACGCCCACAACTTACAGCTTTAAATGGTGTACATTACCATTTTTGAGGTAGCACAAGCGATTCATTAGTCGGCCTTAACTTCTTGTCGACTTCTATGGCAACATAAAAATATTTGCTATTGGCTGAAAATTTATTTAATTACGCTAAAGTATGCCTGTTGAAAACTTTTTGCTGTGCTTGTCGATTAATATGTTGGCGAAATACATATATTTCCTAAACTTTTTCACTTTCTTGTCTGACGCTGTAGCCACCTACGCGATTTTGGGCGAATCCAATTAAGCACTCCAGTTTTTTTGTTTTGTATCAATTAATGCCAGTTGCAAATTTCAATTGACACCAGGGTCGTCCTTAAAAGGATTCTTATCCAAGGCTTAATTTTCCTTTTCATAGGAACAGACGCTGCAAACTTAAGGGGAATTTCAAACCGAATACGTGGCAGTGGCTAAATTAAGGCCCATGCCTTTCTGACATGACGCAAGTCTCCATACAGACCAGAACCAGCGTTTTCCGATCGAAAAATATTGATTTTCAAGAATTCCATACCAAAGAAAAGTTGTTTTTTCCCATGTTTACATGGACAACTTTGAGCGACCTCTAAATATTGCTTGATTTCAAAAAAAAAAAAAATGTGCATTCTAATTCCGACTTTACTTGTTTTTAATGTAGCTGCTTGCCCACCTCTGGTCTGGATTGCGCTCATAAACGAACTGGTGCGTAAGTTATGACATGGCTGCATGGTAAAGGGTATGCCCTAAAGGGGATGCCCTTTATGACCTCATCCAAGACTAGCTAAACTTGATGATTAAATAGTCTGCAAGCCATTAAATCGAATAACACAGAAGACATAGGTTTCCCTATACTGCTGTAGGAGAATGATTTTTAAAAGATGAACCTATCTTCCAAAATTAATTCCTAGTTTCATATTAAGTCTTAATAGTGCACAGACGAGTCTAAGCTGGACGAAAGAGTCATTGAGAGTAGGCTCTCCATACACCTCAAATCTCCATACACTACAAAGTGCCCAGACCACACTCTGGGTAATGTTTTCAAATGGTTGTCATTAAGGAAGCTGTCGATTGAGTGCCCAAATATGTAATGTTAGTTTGGGAGGTAAGAATCTGCTCTAATAGTTACGCTGCAATCGGGCCACTATTTAATAGTAATTTCAAAATTAGTCATAAAATTTCTGACCTCTGTTACGGTCCCGTCCCGTTTTTGCCAATTATAGTTAAATTAGTACCCGGTTACAGGAATACTGCAGTTAACTGTGTGGTGGATAATTTGGTTAGGAAGAGTACTCTCGAGGTCTCATAAATCAAATAAAAAGTAAGAGCACCTTTCACTAGCCACGGACTAGCCTTGGCCAAATGAGCCCTAAAACACCTCAGCGGACGCTGGGCGAAAAACAGAACATGTGCAACGGCAAGGTGATTCCAGACCGAGATTAGCTGTAGGCGGTCAAGGGGCTTTTTAGTTACCCATATACGCAACTATTTGTGGAAGGCTTTGCAGAAAATTATCAGGGTCCACTGTGACTCAGGAGGATGACGAGGTGGAATTATCTAAGATGTCCAACCTTTGTGAGCCTGAGGCTTAAATACCATGGCTGTCATTTTCTCAACAGCCCTTCCAACCTCTGAGTGATTGGTCTCAGATATTTGCGAAGCCTTATTTGAGCTTAACAGTTACAGGGTATCTTAAGCACATTCCATGCATGGCCGAATTTCTACCACGAAAAAAATATTCACACAAAAACAGCAATGTCTGATAAGGACCCAAATTTGAAGGCTTGGTATGATGTTTCCACTTAGGGCCAGTTTCTCAATGTGTGGTTAACACTAACTACAGGTTAAACATGGTTATCGACGTTATCGGTTCCCTGTTATATGTTACGGAGTTGATTACATCGATAGCGATGTTCAACCTGCAGTTAGTGTTAGCCAGACATTCAGAAACTGCTTTATCGGCTTTTGATCGATTGCCTATTTATTATAAGCATGTGAGCGCCACGCCGGTTATTTTAAAAGACAGTCTAGAAAACCTAAGAGCCGCTTTTTATTACGCTTTTTTTTATTTCAGAACAAACTAAGTCTGACGCAGGTCTTAAAGGAGGCCCACTATAAAACGCAAGACGAGTACGAGAAATTTCTTGAAGAAACGCCAGCAAACGATATCCAGGATGATTTCCATGTGATAGATGTTATCACAGAGGGTAAGTACCCTTCACAGTTTCAATAAAGAATCATCCTTACAGGCAAAAGTACCGGTACTGGACATATTACCTACCCGCCACAAAGAGAACATATCGGCCTTAGTTCCGGTTCTTATGTATGGAAACTACCGGCAACTTTTAAATGTGGTTGTTATTGGAGGTGACCATATAGAGAATTTCGGGGCAGAACTGTTATAACCTCAGAGACGCAAATACAAGTTCTGCGTGTGATTGCTAAGACGTCGTTTTTTAATATCGCTGGCGTCATGCTTTTGCTGTTCAGTCGGCTTTTTTCGGCAGCGTTCAAAACTTGAATTTACAGAAAAATTAATAACTACCGTCTGCATCACCTAGAGTAGGTCAAGTAGTGGCACCATTTTCTTCAACTGACACGTTGGAATCAATTGCCACCGTTTGCCCTACTCTGTGCTAAGTTTTACAAGCTCTCAGTGCGTTAAGCATTATTTAAATGTACAGAGATAAACAAGAACTTGGGGATGAACATTTCAAATCAATAAGTTTTAAATCTCTTATTTACTCTCTTCTTTCATCCTCTTATTCTCTACTCCACAGCCTGTTCAAAGTTCACACTTTCGCTAACAGGCCCCGATTTTACGTCGCACAAAGTTGAGGATCCCTTCAAACGCCTTGGACCCATTGCGATTTTCTCAGCGCGTCGTCACTGGACCGCGCCACGGTGTGTACGCCTGCAGAAAGGTTCGTCCATATATCATGAGAATGCATCCACACATTATCGTTGCCACTGTCCGACACCAAACGAAGGTCATGAAGTTGGCTGCAGTCAATATAAAGAGGAATTAGAAAGTTTTGGGTTTCATGTGCGCGGCGATGCGCCGGTAATTATCGCGCATGTGGAAATCAATTCGCTGGCTGATGTAAGTATCTGCTGCCAATATGAATTGCAGTAATTCGAATATTTACTAAATAACAGTATAATAATTCGCTTTCCCTTACTTTTTCGCAGCTGGGCGGCATTAAAGAGGGCGATTTCATTGTGGAAATTGCTGGCATGGACGTGAAATGGTATTCACATCAGCAGGTCGTCCGTCTAATACAATCCTGTGGCAGCACATTAGAATTAAAAGTCATTACACCTATGGATAGGAATTACCTGAAGGTAGGTAAAAAAAAAATCCCAGTCAGATTGAAAATAAACACTATTTCTTCGTCTCTTTCTCTGCCTAGCCCCTATCGTCGAAAGGCTCTATTTCCACGCTATCTGCGGCCAGTTCGTCTGGCGTCTCGTCAGGTTCATCCAGCCCTACTGGCACAACAACAAAACCAAAACCACGCTTCAAAACTACATCACCAAAAAGTCGTCTTGGTAGTCTATCATCGAGCTCTTGGAATCCCTTTCGACGTACGCCAAGTCTGGCGAAAATATTCTAAAACACATTCGCGTACAGTGCACTGCAACAAAATAGAACAACAATAAAATACAAAATACAAAAATTCCATTGGTGGCCATTTTGTGCGTTTGGCGAAATAACCAGCCGCATGCACTTTCAATTTTTCAATTACTTAATATAAATATTTATGTATATAATTAGAGTATGTACAATGTATGTATGTAATTTTGTTTAGAAATATGTTTGTAACTTTATATCTTTGATTTTCTTTTATTTTGAAAAAGAAAACAAAAGATTTTTGAGTTGGTGTTTTTTTGTTTGCAATGATATAGTTTTTCCATATTTCGGTTTGTCTCCATGCTGCTATAATTTCGTTTATTTTCTGGGTTATGGAAAATATTTGTTAATTGTAAATTATATGCAAAAGATATATGTATGTATATTGAAAGTTTTTTTTAATATTCTTATTTTTTATATACACACATATTGTGCTTTAAGTTGTATGTGTATTGACGTTTTTAAACGAAAGAAAATTAGTGTTAAGACAGAGTGCTTCCTTCCGCAGTAAAAATAGCAGACATTTTCAAAAATTAACAAGTAATTTTTTAGCAAAAAACAAAACCGACTTCAATTCTCATACAAAAATTTAAGAGTACCGTTAATTTCTTCATGATCCAATGATCGGATATACACCAAATTAGTATGGGACCACCTCTGAGATACCACCTTTCCGTTAAAAAAGAATTATAGAAATCGGTTAACGTGTTCCAATCGATAACCTCCTCCTTTCTTTTGAATTCGGTTAATGAGAAAAGAAAACAACAAGAACTAGAAATATGTATTTGTATATGTCTTTTTTTCAAATGGACGAAACGAGGAAGTTTTGTAGTGCAAAGCCAATATTTACTACTAATTTGTTAGTAATCAAAATATAATACATATAAAATTATGCAATATTTATAAAGCTTTTGAGAAGCTTAAAATATTCATTATTTTTAACGCCATTAAAAAATGAAAATGGCATGCGATTTATTAAATATGTATGTTGTGCACAAAATATTTAGGACCCATAGTAAATATGTATATGCATGTACATATACATATATGTAGGTATATATAACTATATACAAATGTACGCATTTACTGTATCATACATACATATGTATAATTATTATATTTTAATGTAAAATAAATAATATTCATTTAATAAACAATTTGCCTTTGTTATTCACAAAAACTACTTAAAAAAAACTACGGGGACAAAAATTAATTTTTTAAAACCTTCCTCATAATCCTAGATACATTAGCCCTGAAACAGCATCCTGACTTGGCATACATTTTTCGATCTTTTGGGAAAGCGACACATACATATTTGGTAGTAACATCACAAATTTGTAGGATATTTTTTATAACTTCGTTTCTTTGGGCTCGAAATTGTTAGCCAAAAAAAATTGGTTACAAAATATTTGTAAAATTTTAGTATAATAAAGTTTGAAGTAGCTAGAACTTACCGTTGATTTTTGGGAATTTCCTTTGTTGACGGTGTTGCGCATTTTTTCATCAAAGTATGTTCGACAATTTTTTATATGGAAGAAAATAAGCAGCACCTTCCACTTGCACCTGATTGTATTAAATTTTATTGAGCTACAAAACTGCATACCAAAAGTTTTTCGAAAGTTGCTGATTAAAAAATTTTAAGTTTTCCTGAATTTTCGCAGTTTTTGCACAAGTCCGAAATTTGGATTTAGGTTTTTTTTAAGACATCAGCTTTACTTTCTTAAAAAAATAATTAACATTAAATAAACAAAAGAAAAACAACCAAACCTTGCGAAAATATCACGTTCCAATTTATATTTTGGTCACTGTATGTGTTCTTCGATTCGAAGAACAAGCACCCAAATTAAAAACAATAATAACTGTTTATGGGGGAAATTATGATTATATAACCATGGTTGCAACATCACTTAAAACTGGTCCATAGGCTAGTTTTATGAGCTGTTAAGGCATCGAAAACCAACAACCGAATATGGTATAGATATAGGACTTTAAAAGAAATACATAGAACATTTGGCGTTCCGTATGAATTGGCGAAAAAAGGAGTAACAGTCTCCAGTACAAGGACGGATGGTCAGCGTAGTTATAAGCAAAATACATACCTCTTTGATGCAGAAATGTCGAGAGTTCATTCACTCTTAAGCCCCGTATACAGCTCCCAGGAAAAATTAAAAATGCATATAAAATAACGTTCAAGAAATTAATTGCATAAAAATATTTGCAAGCCACAACTATCATCGTCGAAGATCGGAAAGAGCCATTAACGTAGTCCGCAATATATAGCTCATAGAAAAGTTCTTCAAAACTTCGGGAACACGTTTATTGCCGGAGGCGAATATAACACGAAACACATATTCTGAAGTAACCTAATTACAAGCAGTTTAATTCACCAATTACCTCAGGAGGACATCACTTTTCTGACTCATGTATTTGATGCAGTTCTCGCAACAGACTTTCCACCGCCCAATTGGAAAGTTTCACAAAAAGAATAATACTCAAACACGGAAAAAGCGCAGGTAAAGTTAGATTATGCAGATTAATTAGTTTACTATCAATTGTATCCAAGGTCATGGAAGTGCTTTTCCTTAAATGGATACTTCCAGTTATAGAATCACCAATTTTTCTTCAGAAAAGGCCACAGTACAATTGAACAAGTTCAGCGACTGGTTGAAACAATTCACTCGGCTTTCGAACAAAAAAAAAAAACTATTGCACTGTCGCATTTCTCGCAAGCGTTCGACCGCGTCTACCACAAAGGTAAGGCAAGCTGGACTTTTGCCATCGAAAACGGATATCGTCCATTTTGGCAGTTTCTCGCAGCTGGAACTAGTTCAGATATGGCACGCATATTTAATATTCACTTATCCCTAAGTATATTTTAGCTCGCTTCCTAGGTCCTTTTTAAATTTCCTTAATAAGCTAGCTTTAAAACTTTCAAAAAAATTATATAGAATTTCAAGTGAAACTGGCTCATAAATTTCACTAGATATATAAAAATTCGAAGCAATGCTTGGCCACAGATATATTGAAAAACTGGCCAACATTCAGAATTTTTTCTTACAAATTAATTTTTTTTGCATTTTATCTACTTTAACTTTTCCCATGACAGCTATGAATCTGCGTAATTGCTTTTTCAGAATTCTCTAATCCGTTTTTTATTACTTTTGGCCGCTGTAGTCCCATAATTTGCTATACGAATCAGCGCTCAATGAGAAGTGTTGACCATAGACAACATGTTTCAACTACCTGTTACCCATACTATGTATGTACATAATAATAATAATAGATTGGTGCTTACACATATGTTAGTGTTTGGCCGAGCTTTTACTCCACATTGGGTCGTGCACTTTGATGTTATCACACAAAGGGGGCTATAGTTTTACGCCGGCGATTGTATTTTTATGAGAAGCTGTTTTTCATGGCAGAAATACATCGGAGGTCTGCCATTGTCTGCCGAGGGGCGACCGCTGATAAGAAAAAATCTTTTTTCTATATTTTTTTTGCGATGTTGCTTTGGCAAGGGCTTGAAAGCAGCGCCCGCGGAGTGCATGCGCACACTGCTTATATTCGCGAATTTTATACTCTATTACCACATTCGACGAGTCTTTACATTTTCCCAGTAATTTGATAGGGGCTCGGTTATTGGAGGATAATCATCTCCTGAAAGTAGCTCGAGAAAGAAGTAGATTAGCTTCATTGATTACTCTTTTATAGTGGTGACCTGTGCTTGAAAGGCGATCCAGTAGTCTGGCAACCTAAAACACAGATTATTTGAAGGTTCTCTCAAATACATATCGATAGCTTAGAGTGAAAAGTTGCTAAGTCCACTTTTTATGAAAACTCATTTTTTAATACAGAGAAATTGAAAATATATCCTTTATGTTCCGAAAATTGGATAGGGCCAAAGAAATCTTTTAATGAAAATCGACTTCCTCCTCTGATTCGTATGAAGTTTTGCTTTGCCAAAAATTTTGTATTCAAAGTTTTACGAAATACTTGAAGAAAATGGTTATACGAAGTTATTTCCTCTCCTGTAAAATTATTAAATTGGGACTTAGCTACTTTTCACTCTGAGCTAGCGAAATACTCGTATCTCCCGATATGTATTATACTCTTTCTAGTCGCAGATTTCTTCAACAAATCCTGGACAGTTTCTGAACAAGAAATATTTAACTAAGGTATGCAATTCTAACGCTAGGAAAATATTTAAAAAGCTAGTGCATTTACTTGTAAAATGAATTTTTTTAGGTTTTGCGGTACTGAAGCCTAGCATATTTTGCTATGCTGATCGAAGCTCTGAATCCGACGATCTCTAGAATCTAATGAAAGTAGCAAGTAAAGCAGAACACTCAATTTTCACTACATTTAAAATTGTTCATAGATGACGATTTCTTTTATTAATTTAATAATTATATTATTTAATAATAATCTTTATTAATCATATTATAATATTTTTTATTTTATTTCTTCTTCATATTATAGTTATTTATGTATGTATGTATGCCATGTATATTTTGTATCATTTTGTTGATATTTATTGAAGATCGTTACATATTTTATTTGAGTTGCTATTAGTTATGTTTATGTTTAACTTAGTTTAATTTTAATAAGAATAATAATCATAATTGTAATAACCATCATCCTTTATAATCAACTGGTTGCATAGACAATCTTTATTGATTATACTAGAGCATCACAATGGTATTAATAAATATCTATGTGGTTAGCAATAAAATTAACAAATAACTTAGAAAATAAGTCGTAAGAAAAGATAGATTAGAATTTCGATATTTATGTTGGTATGTATTTTGTCAGTACGTACTATATTTTCTATGCAAATCGACTTAGTATCGTATTTTATCTCTCATTGTTTTGGTAGATATTTTTTTTTGCACACTCACATTGGAAAATTATGTACTAAGTTTAAATGTTGCGACAATATCACGACCAATGACATCTACTAATTAATATTTGTTTACAGTTTTATAAATATTGCGATTTATTGTTGCATATTTGTATTCATTCGATTTGTCACAAAAAATGCACACGCATACATACACACTTATATATGTACATTTGTACATAAATACATTTAAAAGATTAATAAAAACATAAATTTTCTTAGAAAGAAAGTTTATAAATATATTATAAAAATTTTTATTAGGCCGAACCATTTGGGACAAAACTTTCAAATGCTAAGTTTTGAGCTTATTAATCATCTAAATTAATTTGTATGGCAAAATAAAAATATTAAACAAAATCACAAATAAAATGAATAGAAACAAGTAATTAAAGAAAAATTAAAACAAGCTTTTATTTGTTAATAAAAATAATATTTTCTTCGTTTAGTTATTTAATATAAACTAAATCCGACCGACCATAGATACAGGTTCTCAAAATATTTCGACCACCTATCGGGAACATTTTTTCGAGTTATTCCTTTTCACGTAAGTACTATACGTTTCAAATATAAACCAAATCGGCCCATAAATACGGGTTTCCAAACATTCGATTCTTTTCTAGTTCATTTCATGTCGCAAAAAGTTTTCTCATGCTTAATATTAGCCTTGTCCTTGGTCATAGTCTTCATA